TTCAATGTCATGCCTTATTTGCACTCCCCCCAGCTCCCTCACGCGGTTCCCAACCCGCCTGTTGAGGGTCTTGCGGGCCCCCTCGATGGCCGAAAACGAGGCGGTACCGCTCCAGTGGCGACGGGGTAGCATGTTCCTCGTGTTGGGCAGCAGTAGCTGCACCCGCAGCAGCGACTTCAAGATGTCGAGGTACAGCAGGCTGGTCTTGGTCTGTACCATATCATTAGATCCGAGGAGGATTACGAGCACCGCGGGATGGGGTCGAACGACGCATTCCCTCTCGATGATTGGGACCAGTTCCCTCCATCTCATCCCCCCTCGAACGAACCACGTACCACGTCGAAGCGCCCCAGACGAACGTTGAGCTCTGGCCATATAGGATGTCCCAATCAGCCACACTGAAAAGAGTGAGACAAGTGATAGGAAATATATCTGTTAGATTGTGCTAAATGATTACTGGCAAACGAATGTAGGATTCATATGCATCGGACCCCCATCTACCATATTTTTTAATTATGTGTGGGCTAACGCCGTTTGCTGCAGCCGTAGTTGCAGCCCCAATCCTAAAAGAATGGGAAGAAAACGCTGAGGTGTCTACATCGCTGTGCGCTAATGCTTTTTTAAGCACGGCCTGGAACTGATATCTTTTGAGAGGGGAGTGGTCAAAGAGGATAAAGGCTTGCTGTGGACCACTTGGGCGAATGTTAAGGTAAGAATGGACAGCTGTCACGGGACACAAGGGGTTGGAGGGGATGGAGGAAATGGCAACAAGCACGCCTTTGTTCAGCCTATCAGTCTTGGAGCGTCTCAAAGTAAATTGTACTCGCCCGGCAGATTTGTCCAGCTTCACGTCATTGGTGGCAATGCTTGGCTGATCAACCGAGGTCTGTACGAGCTCCCCCACCCTGAAAAATCCAAAGAATGCGGCACAGAAAACAGCTTTGAAAAGACATTGCTCATATACGTTGCTCCACACCGCTGGAAGATTACGGATTATTAACTTTAACAAATCAACAGTTATTAGTTTACGTGTGTCACGTCGCGACTGGTCACATGACATGCCAGCAAGTAACTTAGAAACCAAGAAGTGATCGGTGCAATCCTGCCACCCATTTAACTTATGAAAGGATGATAGTGCAGAGATGTATGTTTTAGCTGTACTGCTGGAGTAATAGTTAACCGACAGATACGAAATTAAATGCACAACCTGATCCATCGGGGCCGGCCAAAGTGGTGACAGCTCATGGGCTCGTCTGAAGGTGTGGAACGTCTGCAAGCTCGTGTGGTATGTCGACCAGGTGTTCGACGACATGGACTTGTGTAGCAGTCGCTGGACCTCCCGATCTACAGGTCCCAGATCCCGTCCGGTAGGGGTGTTGGTGTCCGGTCCGCTGCTGGCGCACATTTGCGGAACTGGTCCCACTGAAATCTCGACAGAGAGTCAGCTATAACATAGTCATGGGTACTAATGTATACAGCTTTGAATGTGATATTGTACTGCAAGCAATATAGAACGAAGCGTCTCACAAGAGACATAGTACAAGGGACGCGACAAGACTGCTTATTGATGATGTGAACGACCGCTTGATTGTCGCAATTAAACAGAATTCGTCTGTTGGCCAACGACTCGCCCCAAATTTGGACAGACAATACAATAGGGAACAATTCCAACAGCGTCATATCCCTCGTCACGCCCTCCCGTACCCATTGCTGTGGCCAACGCCCACATGTCCATTTGCGTCTCAAAGTAAATTGTACTCGCCCGGCAGATTTGTCCAGCTTCACGTCATTGGTGGCAATGCTTGGCTGATCAACCGAGGTCTGTACGAGCTCCCCCACCCTGAAAAATCCAAAGAATGCGGCACAGAAAACAGCTTTGAAAAGACATTGCTCATATACGTTGCTCCACACCGCTGGAAGATTACGGATTATTAACTTTAACAAATCAACAGTTATTAGTTTACGTGTGTCACGTCGAGACTGGTCACATGACATGCCAGCAAGTAACTTAGAAACCAAGAAGTGATCGGTGCAATCCTGCCACCCATTTAACTTATGAAAGGATGATAGTGCAGAGATGTATGTTTTAGCTGTACTGCTGGAGTAATAGTTAACCGACAGATACGAAATTAAATGCACAACCTGATCCATCGGGGCCGGCCAAAGTGGTGACAGCTCATGGGCTCGTCTGAAGGTGTGGAACGTCTGCAAGCTCGTGTGGTATGTCGACCAGGTGTTCGACGACATGGACTTGTGTAGCAGTCGCTGGACCTCCCGATCTACAGGTCCCAGATCCCGTCCGGTAGGGGTGTTGGTGTCCGGTCCGCTGCTGGCGCACATTTGCGGAACTGGTCCCACTGAAATCTCGACAGAGAGTCAGCTATAACATAGTCATGGGTACTAATGTATACAGCTTTGAATGTGATATTGTACTGCAAGCAATATAGAACGAAGCGGCTCACAAGAGACATAGTACAAGGGACGCGACAAGACTGCTTATTGATGATGTGAACGACCGCTTGATTGTCGCAATTAAACAGAATTCGTCTGTTGGCCAACGACTCGCCCCAAATTTGGACAGACAATACAATAGGGAACAATTCCAACAGCGTCATATCCCTCGTCACGCCCTCCCGTACCCATTGCTGTGGCCAATGCCCACATGTCCATTTGCCTTGATTGTAAGCACCAAAACCTGCACCGCCGGCTGCGTCAGTAAAGAGCTGAATGACTGTGTTTGACGTCCACGCAGGACTCTGAAAAACTGATATGCCATTAAAATGTTCTAGAAATTGTAACCACAATACCAAGTCATCCTTGATGCCCTTTGTGAGCCGACATCTGTGAAATGGAGACTTTAACTTGCACATCTCATCGATGAGACGTCGACAAAATGCCCGTCCCATGGGAATGGCACGACATATGAAATTAAGTTTACCCACAAGAGACTGGAGTTCGCGTTTGGTTACCTTCCTACGGTCAGCACTCAGCCACCCTCTGATCTGCGGGGTCGTCTCAACAATTTTGTCTTGTGGGATTCGAACATGCCCGGCAACTAGGTCTAGCTCAAGGCCCAGGAAAGTAATTTTTGTTGTAGGTTGAACAGTTTTCTCAGGTGCCACTGGGACATTGAAGTGATTCAGTACATGCATACAAGATTGTAAATTATAATCACAGTCACTGGTACCGGCAACGCCCCCTGTGAGGAAGTCATCCAGGTAATGCATTAACTGCTTATTTGGGAGACTGCGGAGAATGCACCATTGCAAAAACGTGCTGAATCTTTCGAAAATTGCGCATGAAATAGAGCATCCGAATGGTAAACATTTATCAAAATAGTACTTGCCGTTAAACTGAATGCAGAGCAACTCGAAGTCATGGGGATGGACTGGTATGATGCGGAACGCTGATTTGATGTCAAACTTTGCAAGGAGGGCGCCCGCTCCCAACTGTTGTACCATCTCCACAGCTTCGTCAAAGCGTGAATATGAAACAGAACAGTCTTGTTGGTTAATGTTATCATTAATAGAGTCACCCTGCGGATATGATAAATGGTGAATCAAACGAAAATTATCAGAGAGCTTACTGACCGACCCACCGTCTATTTTCTACTTGTAATGCAGGAAGCGGTGGATCATCAAAAGGACCGGCCATACTACCTAGGGTGACCTCTTTGTTCAGCTTTTCAACAACAACCTCCACACCCACAGCATCTGTCGCTGATGACAGATTTTTTGACATTCTGAAGACGCGGGTACCCTGAAACTTAAGCTTAAAACCGTACAGAAATCCATAATGCAATGAGTGTGCATCCGAAGGGTTAACCAGTGAATACGAGTGAAGAGACTCCAACATGTTACTTACGCTGACCGGAGTTGGTGCTCGAGACATTTCGTCTATACTGCTGGGGTGTATATGCAGTGCACCGGTGGCAGCTGACGCTCCGACGGACGCATGGGGACGAAAACAGCTCTGGATGTTGTGACTAGACTCTCCACAGTTTCCGCACTTGTGTGGGTATTTACAGGATTGACGTTGACAGTTCCCCTTGTTGAAGTCCCAACAAATATTAAATGGTAATTCGCGATGATTATTTTTTGAGACACTTACCCCAGTATTGGTACGTGGCTTGATCTGTTGGGGTGTCAGCATGTGCTGCAACCAGAGCTCACCGTCGACACGTCCCCACTGACGAGTGGGATCCCTTGCCATTCTGTGACGGAATTGTTGATCATACACCCTCCATCCATCTCCGCCGAAGCGCCAGGCAGCATTGCGTATGGATTCAGAGTATGACAACATTCCCTGTAACACACTAGGTGAAAAAAGTTTTGTCATGTAAATCGACATAAAAATATGAAATGCCGATGTCCATGCACCAAGAGTGATTGGCTTACCCTGCGATTGCTGGCGGGTGACGAGAGAGACACTACCGTCTCTATCAGCGATCAGTTCCATTTTCGCTTGGTTATCGATACCCGAATTCACATTAGGAAGTAAGGTTGAAAGATCAACGTACTCACCGTTGTAGATTTTGTCACGGGTGGCCTGTTTCACGTGAGCACCAATTTCCTGAGCGTCATACGTTAATGGCGATGGGGCGGAAGAGGGAACTGAAATGTCAGACACGACGGGGAGGGAGACAACCGGGTTCTGAAGATTACCTTGGTTTGAAAGCAATTTTAGAATTGCTTCGAACTGTCCCGAAATACTGGGACTTGTTCTTGGCGCCGGGGATGTGAAATCGGAAATTTCAACCGATGCAGATGGGCGCGATGGATTAATATAATTATTGCAGGACTCATCATTCTCAGAAATGTTACCGCCTGTAATGCGACAGCCGGCGTCTTCTTTGGCTGCTTTGGGCCCTTCCCCGTCCTCACGAGCCGGTGGTTGATAGCTGCCTTCCTTTTCCCGGGCATGACGAAATGAAGAACAGATCGATTTTACCGAATGGTGTTGATGGCACGATAAGATCGGCGCGAATGACATTCAACAAGTGACGTAATCGGCACGCGTTTAATACATGACGTCACTGGTAACTAAGTGACGTAACTATGGCGGCAGATAACAGAAAGCGGAAGTAAACACGAGAACTCAGAAGCAAATGCGAAGGATGCAAGAGAATGGTTTTGATAACCGCATTTAGTGTCAATCACTAAATGTAATTATTGTTTTATTGTTTATTGACCTGTTTATACAATAGTGACAATGTTGTGGTACATATGTGAAACGAAACACAATACTACTGAAACTCCAGTAAATTCCATTCTGTACTCACGAGGTTTTCCAGTACTCCTGTATTGAAAAAAATAAGGAGTATGTACTCCTGATGTTGAAATATTATCTTGAGCCCTGGATTAGATTTCATTGTTCTTAGAACATAAACACAGATTGCTCTCAAGGGTTTTCAAACCAACAACACCACAGTTTGATAGGGGTAAAACATTCATGTTAGATGAGTGCCAGGGATTTGTGGCCAACGTTTATTACCAACACAAATGTGGACTGAAAATAAAAATGCACATGCAGTACCTAAAGGCATAATACCTTGGTCCAGATGAAATGATTGTCACATAGCCCACAGGCCTACTGGTTGAACACCGTTGCGATGGAGCCCATGACAGCAGCGCAATGAGCCAGGAAACCCTTCTCTATGAGTTAAGTGAGGGAGGAAGAGCAAGAGGAATGACGGGATGACGGGATGACCTGGAGAGATAATACCGACACTTGTACTGTCGATGAGTTTGTATTTAATCCAATTGGATTTACAACGTAAAGACAGACATTTTTTGTACTTTTGCTTGCTAACCAAGAACGCCCCCACGTAACACAATATCCCATTCATTACGCCGAAAATAACAGATAGTAACGTCATTGTAATGTAGATTAATGATCTGGACCCAGTTGTATCAACGCGTAATTATGTAATCATCAATTAAACACTAATCATGGATTAAATTCTTAATGTTTGATTAGTTAATGAAGTATTTAAATACGGTTGTATAAACCCTTATTTAAACACCCATTAACTAAGTATGCCTCTAACAAAGGTCCCGTCATTAAACCATGATTAACATAGGGGAATCCCCTAATTATTATCCATGATGCATTGCAGGTAAACACTCATCTATAGTCTGCATAATGGCTGGCGTCAGAAATCGCAGTAAACACTTTGAAAGTTGTGAAATACAGGCCTAGTTGAAGATCATATCAGTGTGTTAAACAGCAAACTGACTAACTCCATTACTAATGACAAAAAGAAGCAGATATGGGACAAAATAATGTCTGAGCTCAATAGGATTGGGGTAAGCAATAGAACGTCCAAAGAAATCAATACAAAATGGAACAACATGTTTCAAAATGCAAATAAAAAGTGTTTTCAGACAGAATATGGTCTACTACACTTAATGTGTCAATTTCTTATGTAAATATTATTCAAACAATCAAAAACTTTCAAAGAATATAGAATGTATACCCTATATCCACGTATGATATGATATTGAACAAAGCTAAATGTAGATGCTGAAGTCAGTTTCATGAAAAAGTATCTGAACTATACGCAAAATACACATCATAATACTGACACTGACAGTGTAATCGGAAGGATAGGGCGATTGTTTACTCTTGTTCAACCGACCTTTCACCCCAAAGAAATTGCCTAACATGTGCAACAAGGTTGACGTATGACATCACTACCGCTGACCGATTGAAATGGCGACTTCTCTGACAAGGGTACACACGATTAGGCGAGGACTCTTCCCTTGATTCAGGGATCATTTGTACATAAATATGTGATGTAAGTAATCAGAATTATTCTGACTCTCTGTGTATTGTTATATGTTTTTATAGTTTTCATTGGATAAATAAGAGAAGAAGCCAGAAATGCTGATAATTACCGTTGTCGTTCTGCGTTATTTTGCATCAGTCATGGCGTCACGCTGCACGGAAATCTTGATAAATTCTTATGAATGATCAAATCATTGCATTGTATCTCTTTTTAATTTCCTATTTCTTGGCACGATACTCTTTCCATGCATATTCTAAAGATATTGATCCATCGCAAGCAAAGAATCGACGGCAGGGTGTCGGACAATTTCCAGAAAATGCTACGCAGTGTAAAATCGGATTTTTTCTTTGTTTCTTTGTTTACATTTCAAACAAGTGCAATCTTTGGAGTACAATGTTCGTTTTCACCCCAATATCTTTCGTTTCATTTCATCTAGACAGTTGGTATTGGTGACAAAGACCATTTGCAATTTGATTCCAAAATGTATAGGGAATTCAGTGGTGTATTTCTCGCAGCTGAATATGAAATATACATGATGTAATTGGTGTCTCAATACCGGCCTTCGCGAAACGTGATTTTGTAAACAGTATCCAATATGGCGGAAAACGCACTTCGGCGTTTGTGTAAGTGTATTTTCGAAAACATCCCAACCGATTCTAGGTTCATCGGCAACGTTTCGGAATTATCAGTAGTGATTTTATGAAAAACTGATATCAGTGATCATTACTATGCTAATTTTGAAATTCTATATTCCCAGTAATTGTCAAATTTTCACATTTCAAATAACTCTGTGAATCGCGATTACATATTGTGTCAAAAATGGCGACACGACGAAGTCTATTTTGAAAGGTTATTTTAAGCACTTTAGTTTTGTCTGATTTAATAGTGGATGGTATCAAGAAACAGGGAATTTCCCGCAGAATTCAAAACTGTGAAGTATATTTGTATATAGATATGTGATATATTTAGAATTTTATTGAACTTAAAAGTGAGGGTTAAAGAGGAAGGACATTTATTACCCACGTGGTCAACGTGTGGGTAGTTGCATACTAATCTCGTACGTCACACGAGTGTCGTATCGCGTTGACCTGTGTCGTAACGACTTGACCTGAAATTCTAACGATTTGATTGGATAACCGATGACCTCTCAATTAGGTCACATTCTCACGTAACTATTTTTTCATTCATAACAAACACGTGAATTCATTCATTCTACAACTTAAATGCATTGTGGGAATGTAAACATTGCGAACGTTGCCGTGTCGCTGTTTAATTGTGAGTCGAACTGAGACATTATATCTGTCGAAAAACATAAACGCAATGTTTCCACCAGTGATGTCAGCCGAATGAGGCAACTGGAAACCAAGAAACGAGGTGCAACCGAGTAGTTTACTGTAGGAGGCTGTACGAGGCGATGACAACTGACAAGCATCGTGACGTCGGTTACCAAGGCAGTGACGTCATTAGTGTGAGATGCAAATATTGTACTACAGTACAAAACTCTTCCCCAACCTCTTTATGAAACCGGTTTCGGTTTGAAACCAAAAACATAACAAAAATACGCTAATTTTTCCTTATCCTGACTCATGCTTTTTTGCTTGCCTTCTTCTTCTTTGCGAACATAGTGGAACACTTGTATCTCCCAATTGAAGTTCCCTTCAATGTAAAATCACTAATTAGTACTCCCGAGTTATCTGTCACCTCAAGCGCGGGAACGAGGGCGCCACCTCCTGCCATGTGCCTCACTCTCTCTCCTTCTTCGCCCAGTGAGCAGGACGTGAGAGCGCCTGTGTCTCCCTACACACTATATCCTTTATTTATATTAATTTGTTACCTCTTATATTCATCTATAGAGGTGTAACTAGTATCCTTATTCAACATGCATTGATATTTACATTTAAATTACGTTTCTCTGCTGCTGATCCGCATTTAATATGCCCTAGTTGTACAACGCCAAGCTCTATTGTTTCACGCTGCAATTTATGTATTAAATTGTCTAATTCTGCCTTTGATAAATATTAATATTATGTCTTGAGACGTGCAGAAGATAGATCTCGGAAACAATCTTCAGTCATGGCTGATAGATCAGAGTCAGATATACCCTGTCAACTGTTGGCGGACGACCCTCTACCGTCTGGTGTTCCGCCTGAGTTACCTTCGGGGGAGAAGCGTGGGACGCAGTCCGCTATACCCAAGAAGCGACCTGCTTCCCAGGACGTTCCTTCATCACAGTCTAAGACTAGAAGAGCTTCCATGTCGTCTCAACGTACGCTCCGAACCCCCCCAGGTCTACAGCTTCGTCAAAAGGGAAATCCACGAAGGCTACTAAACACTTTGCTTCTGATCTTCTACTTGTTTCAGAATTATGTTTATATGATGATGACATTCCGATTATCATTCCAGATGTACGTCATAAGAAGCGACCAGTATCAGCTACCGTCACTTCAGCGCAGATCAACACACAACCAAAGATGCCTACGCTGACGCCTGAGATTATAACTGAGGGTCTCGTCACTATCGCAGAGAGGACACCCCCAATGCCAGCGCAGACCGTCCCAGACGACCTGGTCAACCAAATCATGAGATTGATGGAAGACCGACAGGTTTACAGAGGCCCCAGAGCCACGGGCCCAAGAGCCCAACCCATAATAAGTCATACAGGGCCCCAGAGGCCGCCTTGATTTCGCGTAGGGCCCCGGAGCCCACAAACGCGCCTCCACGAAGGGCAGCCCAGCCCGTAGCGAAGCCTTTGCGAAGGACGTCCCAGTCCACCTACACGAAGGACCTAGATCCTCACCATTCGCAAAAGGCTTCACGGAGGAGGAGTGCTTCACCGAGCTCAGACCCTGTAGAACACAGAGGTCGTTCGTGAAGCAAGCTCCTATCTAATGAGTCGGACTCAGACTCGCTACCTTCATGAAGACCTTCATGAAGGCCTTCACGAAGGTTAAGTGGCTCCAAGTCATCTTCATTCAGAAGATCTATGAGGGATTCACCAAGAGCTTCACGAAGCCACCATCGTTCGCCAAGAAAGCTCCATGAAGGTCTCCCTATATAAGCCACTCGTCAGTCTGTTCAAGACATCGCATGACTTGTCTATCAACTGTATGCCACATGCCGCCTATAAGCCTACGCGAAGACAATTGCACAGGCTATTTACAACAAAGAACGTGGCTGTATTATTTTATCAACAGATGAAGAGCCTAATTAAGGA